TCAAGATGTGACCTTTAAAGAATTGAATGTATCTGGATGTTCAATGCAGCACCAAATGTCAGGGCATTGTTATCGTTCTGGTATCATAATGAATATAACTACTGATATGCTATTAAGCAATGTGTCTATTAGTAACAACATTGGTACTGGTTTATTATTAATCAATGCAGCTGGGAATATTACAATAGAAGAGTCGGTTTTTTCAAATAATTCAATACCTTACGCTCTGCAACAAAATGGCTTAAATGGTAAAGCAGTACATGGAGGGGCAGGTCTAGTGATACTGATATCAGCTTGTGAGATCACTGCTAAGAACTGCTCACATGTATCAGCATCAGGTAACTACAATATACTGGGCACACTTTTTCATAATAACACAGTTAACCTCTTTAAATTAAGCAGCAGAAACTGGTTGTTTAGTTATGGTGGTGGACTTGGTATTCTTTCAGTATGGAATGTTCAAGGGAACACTTTCAATATAGAAGGGACTAATTTTATTAACAACGCAGCATTTAATGGAGGAGGAATGGTGTGGCATTGTCAAAAATTCTGCTACAACAATAAAGTGAAACTTCATAGGTGCCTATTCACCAACAATTACCTTTCTATGCATGATGGTGGTGGAGCTGGAATGTCAACAGGGATTGCTCAATATCATGGTAACATGTCAGCTAACAACATTGTAACTGTTAATGAAACAAGTTTTGTTAACAACACTGGATATTATGCTAGTGGAGTTCTGGTATATTGTAATGCAAAGGAGGATGATAAATTTCTAAAATTTTACAATTATGTTCATTTTATTAAAAGCAGTTGGGAAAGTAATACTGGTACTGTTAGTCCAGCAGTTGAATTGCGTCCGAATTATAGGAGCTACTACTATAACACCTTTACTACTAAAACAACATTTGAACACTGTACATTCTCTAATAATACCATTGAGAGATACTATTATCCAACTGAAATGCCTTCATACACATTTAGAAAAGATGTCGGTGTTTTTGTTATCACGAAACTAACAGTTCACTTTAAAGGTAACAATACATTTTCTAACAACAAGGGCACAGCATTGTATATAGTATCTGGGTCTGCATTTTTTAAAAGAGGAGCTTTTACTGTGTTTGAAAATAATACAGGTACTACTGGAGGAGCTGTTAGATTAGTGGGATACTCTAACTTTGAGTATAATAATGACACAATGTTTGTATTTACTAATAATTCAGCAAGCTTTGTTGGTGGAGCTATTTCAGTTTCAAATACAAAATCATACATTTCACTATCATCTTATTCATGCTTTCTTCAGTATCACAATGATGATGACAAAGAATATTCTTATAATTATGAGACTAATGCAAGATTTTTATTCGAACATAACTGGTCTTCCACAGGAATAGCTAATTCAATATTTCTCGATACCATCAAATCATGTCAGTATTCTTGCGTGACTCAGTCAGGAGAAATTCCAAAACCAACAGAGCTTTTTATTAACCAGAGCTGTATTGGAATATTTGAATTTGACAATAGTAATAATACCATTGAGATTGCATCTGGGGGTTCGTTATTTAACATCAATCAATCTACACTTGTGTCAATTATACCTGGAAGAATGTATTCACTACCATTAACACTGTTAGATGATATGGATCAGAATGTGACAAATATAACTATATTTCAACCATCTTTATCAAATGGAAGTAACATCAAAGTATCACCTGGTTTTGAGTTTGTGGCTGACAATAAAATTCAAATGACTGGTAAACCAGGAGAAAGAAGTAACCTGACATTGATTGTATCTGGTTTCCAAAATATTGGAGCTAGTATTAGTATAGAACTAGCATCATGTCCACCTGGTTACATAATTGATGATGATTCCTCTAGTTGTGTGTGCTCAGCATCACAAAACAATAAGTCACTCACATATATTGGTATTGTTGGTTGTATAGAGAATAAAGGAGTAGCTATTAGTGGGTATTGGGTTGGCTACATCTTATCTAATGAAAATGAAAAGCCTAATCAAATGAACTTATACACTTGTAGCTGTCCATTTGGTTTTTGTCACTACTCCAATATCAAAGGAGGCAATGGCAAGATCAAGCAAGATTACAATTTAGCTAAAGTTGCTTCCAGAGATGAAATGGATAAAGCTGTTTGTACATTAAATAGGCATGGGACAATGTGTAGCCAATGTAAAGAAGGCTATTCTGTTTATTTTCATTCAAACACCAATAAATGTGGGGAAAATCATCATTGCTCAATTGGATTTGTCTTTTATCTTCTGAGTGAGATATTACCAATAACTGGCCTCTTCTTTATTATTGTATATTTTGATATTAGCCTAACAACAGGACTGGCTTATAATTTCTTCTTCATGGCACAGTTACTAGACACTATGGTAGTATCAGTCAATGGAGCAGTTGAGTTTAAACCTACAATCATACGTAGCATCTACACTGTACTCTACAGCACATTGAATCTTGAATTTTTCAATATTGATGAACTATCATTTTGTCTATGGAATGGAGCAGGCACATTGAATATGATAAGCATGAAATATGTATCTGTCATTTATGCAGTTTTACTTATTTTGGGATTTGTGTACATGTTCAGGTATTGTACATGTGGACTGAAGGGCAAACGATGCTGCAAAAATATTTTCAGTTACTCTATGGTTCAAGGCCTCACTGCTTTCCTAGTCATATCATACTTTCAATGCTCACGCATATCGTTTATGTTGCTCAGTAGGGAATCACCAAATGGAATTGGAGGAAGATTTTATAAAAATATTGTCTTCTGGAATGGATCATTGGAGTATTTCAGTCCTCAGCACCTCCAATATGCTTTACCAGCTATCATTTCACTGATCTTATTTGTAATTCCATTTCCACTGATACTCACATTTGATGGACTATTGTTAAAGGTCGAGAGTAAACTGGCCATTCGTTTTGCTTTCATTAGAAGGTTAATGCCATGGACTGCAATACATTATAAGCTGAAACCTCTTCTTGATTCATTCCAAGGACCTTTCAAAGATCAGTATCGTTTCTTTGCTGGTCTTTACTTCTTCTATCGTTTTCTTATACTTGCTCTACTTGTAATAGCCTCAAGTATTCACAAGTTTTACTTTTTTCTAGAGGTAGTGCTCATTATTTGCATGATGATACAAGCTATGGCTCAGCCTTTTCAGGAGAAGAGTCATAATGTCTGTGCTCTCCTTGTATTCACTAACATGGCACTGATTAATGCATTCACTATGCGTATATATTACCTTGTGTCAAATTATGGATACACAGCTGAGACAATTACCATGCAATGGATACAAATGGGGCTGATATATGTTCCACTAGTTGCTGCTGTTTTAAAAGTTTTTTGGAGTCGATGTTGTAAAATTCAGAGGTATTCTCCTGCTAACAATGATTATGAAGAACTGTTGTTCAATAGAAGTACTGACAATGCTGAGAGCCACTGAAGGTGAAAAAACTTTAAAATTATGCATTACTTTATCCTTGCTGTAGTACTTTTGCCATAATTTTTTGTCTTTTCAGTTTAGACCTGATTTTATCGTCTTATGCTTATATAACTAGACTAATACTAGCATAAAACAAAGCAATTAAATTTTTTAAGTTGTGTCAATATCCCTTAGCATTCATACCCATTTCCATTCATACACTAATAGTGCATAAATAAAATTGATTGTTACAATAACAACCATAAGTGTTGCTAGCAATGCTAAATGATTTAATAGTTTTAAAAGACAAATGTTTATAAGTGTGTGTTCAATAACAAATTAACAAAATGACAATTATAGCTAAACACAACAATGTAGCAAAATTTCAGCGATACAAGTAGCTACAAGTAATAACTTTGCAAGCTAGAATCATAGAATTGAAAGCCAATTAATATGACACAAATATTGTAATAATGTTAATAAATTATAATTCCTTCTTAATAATTTCAAGAGTAGATAATTTGTGTACATGGAACGAGCTGGCTAGAGTCAAATGTCTTCACATTACTGTAATGCAAAAAAAAGAACAGCCACGTTGCTGTTCGCCCAGGGTGGGTCCGCCAAAATTTTGTTAGTCTATACAAAATTTTGTTAGTCTATTTTGGTCCAGGCCCCTTCCGGTCCACATTTGAGACCATAATATCTATATAATAGTATAGTGCTGGGCGATAGTACGATAGTAATCACTATCGCGATATTAAATTGCCTTACTATCAAATACCACGTGTTATCTAATGCGCATGCCCAGTTGTATAAACATGTGGTCAGACAGTTTGTTGGCACTAAGATGGCTTCTTCTTCTACTCTAAAAAAGTTTTAAAAGACAGCTTTTGCCACTTACTGGATCAACTAGACAGTGTGGGGCTATTTTAGGTTATTGTTATGGTACTTCTGCAGCCATATACAGTTCAGTTGTTGCTTTTTCTGTCAGAAAATCTCTTAACCTCTTAACTTTATCATCTAAACAATTAGCTACATCTATACAACTTATTCTATTTTTATTATAATCACTATTAATTTGAGGTCAAGTACTTGAGTGAATATCGCGATAGTATTCACAATCGTGATAGTTTTGTAACTATCGATCGTGATAGTGATAGTAGTAACCTTAATTATGATAATTTGTATCGGTTACGTAGTCTATAATATCTGTTTGAGACCATGAGGCTCGAGCGCCCCTGCCTCAGTAATCCAAGTAATCGCCCCCAACTATTGTGTGCATGTGAGGCGCAGGCCGCCCTATTGTCTAACGTTAGCTGGGTTATTAATTCTTTACACTGTAAGCTTTTTTAAAATTTCAAATCATTTCCGACCTCCAAATCATTGTGGCCATATACTAAGACTACATCTAGTACATCGATATCATTGGCAGCCACCCCGCTGAGCTAACTGCTTGCTCCATTTCTTGGCCAGTCATTTTAGTTGAGTTTTTAGCTTCTGTTTGAGGGCCACGGTCCTGTCAGACTATAGAGCTATACACATATAGTCTTGCATGATGGACAAAGAACTCTGGGATGCTTTTATTTTGAAAAAAGATCACGAAGAAGCTGTTCGCTTACTACGTTTACAAGATCCTAATGTCCTTTACCAAAATGAGCCTGACCTGCTTCATCATTCTATAAGTAATGGCTGGTTAGATGTTACAAGAGATCTTATCAACAATTATCACTTTAATCCACATCAATATTATCGTCGTGAACCCTGTCTTTTTACTGCTGCTGAAGGTAATCACATTGATATAGTTGAATACCTTATTAAAGAGTGTGGCTGTAATCCAATGATGCCTGCTGCTGAGCATGGCAACGTTCCTGTTCTTCATGAAGTAGCTAGTCAAGGATTACTTGATGTTTTGAAGTGTATAGTCATGAACATTGATGGTCATATAATGGATAAACAATATCAGGATATTTATGGTCAGAGTGTTCTGTATCGTGCTGTTAAACACATAGATGTTCTAAAGTACCTCGTTAATCGTCACTGTTGCGATATAACAATTCGGGATGAGTATGGAAAAACACTTCTTCATCATGCTGTCGAACATATAGATGTCGTTAAATACCTCATTAAAGACTGCAACTGCAATGTGATGGTGACTGATAAAGATGGACAAACACCTCTTCATTATGCTGCCAGTAAGAGCCTTGTTGAAGTTATTGAATACTTATTGTCAACTGGTAATTGTGATCCTTTGGGTAGAGACAAATCGGGGTACACACCATTACAACTAGCTAAAGGGAGACAGAATAGTGATGCTGTCATTGCTATTTTCAAGAAGTTTGGCAACATCAAAATATCTCATCCAATTGATTCTTATGTTAACGTTCTCCTTGTGGGTAATCCTGGAGCTGGTAAAAGTACTCTTAGTCATGTCATCAAAGACACAGCTACTGGTTCTTTCGTTCTTGGTTCCTTTAGAAATGTTGTAGGGGTAGCGCCCTGTACTGCTGGCATCATTCCTTATAAACTACAGCATAGGACACTGGGTAACATCATTCTTCATGATTTTGCTGGTCATTCAGAATACTACTCCAGTCATAGTGCTGTCATTGAGAATTTGTTACGAGGCTCTGGTGGTGTGTTCCTGATAGTAGTCAATATAATGGAGAAGGAAGCAGTCAAACAGCTTAATCAGTGGCTAACAGTTGTGAGAAATGAAGCACATAAAGCTCTTAATCAATGCCATGTTATTGTAATAGTCAGTCATGTGGATGAGGTAAGTAATCCTTTTCAAAAGAGAAGAAAAGAAATAATACAGGAGATCATTGTAAGGGAAGAGTATGATAGCATCTTCTTAGATTGTCGTAAGTGTGGTGGGAGTGGTGTGGATTCCTTCTTTAATAAGTTGTCTAGTGCCTGTGAGTCCATTCGTAGTACAAGTGGAAGGAATTTGAGTCTTTATTGTCACATGATGTATGGTCTACTGGAGGAAAGGAAAGAGAATATACTGACCCTCTCTGACATCACATTACCATTTAAACACAGTGGTAATTATATTGTACCAGATGACAGAGATGAAATTGCCGAGCTTCTTGATTCATTGCACTCAACTGGTTTGATCAGTGTTCTTAAAAGTGAAGACAAGGTATGGGTTGTTGTGAATAAGGGCGTACTACTCACTAAGGTGGATGGGATTCTCTTTGCTCCAAAGACATTCAAAGAATACGTTGACGTTGCTAGCAATACTGGTATTGTTAGTGTATCTGGTCTGACTAGACTCTTCCCAAATTATGATCCTGACATGTTGATCTGTTTCCTGAAAAACATGCAACTCTGTCAAGAATTGGATCCATCTTTCCTGAAAATGACAAACTTAACAGCAGAAGATAGAGATGAGACAGGAGACAGTGCCTCAGAGACTCAAAGAAGAGAAGAAAGGTTATTGTTTTTTCCATGTCTTCTGTCTACTGATAGACCTAAGGAGATGACTAGTCAAGTATACCAGTTTGGTTGGTGTCTACATTGTACTAGAGAAAATGATTTCTTTCTTCCTCGATACTTTCATGTTCTGTCTTTACGTCTTGCTTTTAAGTTTTCATTTTCAAAAGGGAAGGAATTAGCTGAAAAATTGAATCGTGAATGCAAATTTTGGAGTAATGGTATTCACTGGTTTGACGGCTATGGTGTAAAAGTATTGGTAGAGATTGTGGATGAGAGCCAGTGTGTACTAGTAATGATGTCCTGTGAGAAAGGTGACAGTAAAAATATGGTGTCTTTAAGGAAAAATGTAATACGAGAAGTAATGAATGTTTATAAGGAATCCTGTCCCAGTTTAAAAGTTGAAGAGTTGATTATTGATCCTGAAGAACTAGCCTATCCTGTGAACAGACTAAGAAAAAAAACCGTTTATGGTGTTTTTAATTTACTTTCAGCAATTATTAGTAAAAAACGACGATACCTCGTATGCGATAAAAGGCAAAAGAAATTGAAGGAGATCTTACCTGATGAGTCGTTAATACTTGCAGATATTAGTGAATTGTCATTATTAGGAGGACGTGATATTAAAGTATGTGATTACAAACATTATTGAATGTAACTGCATGATATTTCTGTAGGAAGTGTTAGGAGACTCTTATATCAACCAAGATCATAATCAACAAGGTATGTATAATTTGACCTTTTTTGATTCTCAAAAAATTGACAACATATGCTGCATACTGGTACTTTGTCAAATTTTATCAAACATGGCAAAAACAAATATTATAATTTCTATACATTATGCATGTTCATATGTTGTGTAGAAAGTTTGAGCTGATTTAAATCAAAATTGAATCTTAAAGAATTTTAATAGTTATTTTGCTAAAGAAACAAAGGCCAGAGGCTATAGCCTTCATTGGTCTTTGGTCAAATTTCTTCAAAAATGACTCTGAGAGGATTTTGTGTAAATGTTGTGTAGAAAGTTTGTTGTTAATTTTGGTTGGTGGGTAGATGAGAGTTTATTTGCAGTAGAGATACTAAGACACATTACTGTACACAATTGAAGTAGACATTTACATGTATATGTTATATATATATAGAGCAAACTGAAACAAATCAAAAGGATGAATCAGCTACCAATCACTCTTCCACACAGACCACACAGACCAGTGAGTCCAATGATGATCAACAGAAAGGTATAAGCACTCACTGTCACTAGTACGTTTCATATTATTTACATGACTGTATCAGCAATTATCCTTATAAAAATAGTTAGAATGCATGTACTGTACATTTTGTGCATACAGAAAGACCACATCCTGCTTAGTAGGCTCACCCCAATAATTGTAGAGTATCAATGATAATACAGGGGCGTAGCCAGGGGGGGGCAAGGGGGGCAATTGCCCCCCTTTTTTTTAAAACTCAAAATTTAAAAATAATCAAATAATAAGCTGCTTTTGGAAAGAAAAGCTGTTCTACAACTTACATATGAAAGGAAAAGGCCAAAGCAGTCTTTCTATGATGCCATTATAAGGCTGAAAAGGTATTCAACGTTGCCTATGATCGGTCTAGAAGTCCGCCATGTTGAAAAATAGGTGTGACCACGCCTTAAAAGGGCGTGGTTTTTGCAAAATTTCGCGGCGCGCTTCGCGCGCCGCACAGCTTGCCCCCTCCTTCCAAAAATCCTGGCTACGCCACTGTAATAGGTGACTGTTTTTATGTTTATACTTATACAGAGCCAACAACTCCAAAGGACAAAAATTACCCACTGACTCAGATCACCAGTGAGTCCAATGATGATGAACATAAAGGTATAAGTACTCACTGTCACTAGTTTCACATTATTCATGCATTTATATTACAGTTATGTTGAGTTATGATCAGCAATTAATCTTAAAAGAATACCTTAGAATGCCCATTCATCATACTTTCATGTACAATACATGTACATGCAAACAAACACACATGCTTCTTAGTATATGAATAATAATTAGTGACTGTTTCATACAGAACCAACAACTCCAAAGGACAAAAATCAAACCAGTGAGTCCAATGATGATGAACAAAAAGGTATAAGCACTCACTGTCACTAATTTCATATTACATGTATGTGTATGCGTATGTATGTGATAGTGTGAGCTTAATGTACACTCACTTTACCTAGCAAAATTACTATTGTCTAGCTTGTACATATTCTTTCACATGAGTGATTTTTTGCAGTTTAGTGATAGTAAAAAATTCCAATACACTGTACATGTATTATACATGCAAGTGGATGTTGTTTCATATTATATACTTAATATAGAGCCAACAATTCAAGAGGTCAAACCAACTACAATTGATTCCCCCACACAGATCAGTGAGTCCAATGATGATCAACAAAAAGGTATGAGTAAACACTAAATTTTCCTAGTTTTATTAATTTATTTATAGTTATATTGACAATCGACGATCTAGTAGAGATATTACGAGTGTTAAAAAGTGGTCACTTTCAAACTACAAACTGGTCAGATCTTGGTCTCTACTTGGGTCTAACTCATGATGAACTGGATGTTATTGAGGCTGACTATCCACAAAACGCTAAGCGATGTCTCAGAGAATGTTTAGCAAAATGGCTTAAAACAGATTTTAAAGCAACATGGGACAATCTAGTTCATGCTCTTATTGAAGCAGGAGAGGCATCAGCTGCTGCTTATATAAGTGAGATAGTTATTTAAGAAATAGGATGGGTCATTCCTATAGTCAAACCATAGACATTTGTTAGACTTGGTCATTTGTTTTTCGTATGCCAATAATATTTTGTTATTCACATGTATTGAAGCATGCTATATATACCATTTAGGGGTTTTATTTTGATATAAATTTCACGAATTTTTTCAGATTTGCCATTTGTTGGTATAAATTTTTTGAAATTATACCTTCTGCAGCCATTTTTTCTAGTGTGCCTCACCTCTTTGTGGAATTTAATTTTGCAAATTTAATGAAAATGCGAAATTAGCAAAATTTATTTCCAGTGAAATATAACCTCTACACGGTACATACAGCTAGAAAAAAATTAGTTGAAGACTAATATTGTTCCTTTTAAATTTATGTACACCATACTAGTAGACTGCAATATTATGCTTTATGTATGGTTATATAACATACTAATTCGTTGCATGGTTGGTCTAAGCGATGAACTGGTTGGTTCATTTGTTGAGGTGGTTGTCCTAACCACCACCAACCACCTGGCCTACGCAAAGCTGGGCAAGGCCAATGCAGCATTATGCTGAAATTATTATTCTTTTTTTTATTCAGCCTCAGGTGCTGCTGGTGTTAAGACCAATAGTCAGTTCCCTATAGTACCTGATCATTCTGATGATAAAACCACCAATGAGAGTGGGAACTACACTGATATGAATTATCCTGAATCAGAGATGCCACAGAAAATTGAAGGTAAAATGTGTGTTTGGGATTATTTAATAAAAAACAATAAAAATACCAATACACTATACATGTATTATACATGCAAGTGGATGTTGTTTCATATTATATACTTAATATAGAGCCAGGAATTCAAGAGGTTAAACCAACTACAATTGATTCCCCCACACAGATCAGTGAGTCCAATGATGATCAACAGAAAGGTATAAGCAACTGTCACAGTCACATACCGTATACCGGTTTATTTTTGTAGTAGAAAATTTTTGTGAATCTTGCATTTCTAAGATTTTGCAGAATTAATTTTTGTGTATAGCTTATGGCAGACTGCATCACATGGCAATGGAAATGCAGAATTTTGTGGTGCAAAAATTTTGTGGCGGAGCAAGAAACCAGAAAATTTGCAAAAATATTTCACTATGAAAATAAACCGGTATACGGTATTACATGACTATATCAGCAATTAACCTTATAAAATAGTTAGAATACATTTATTCTGCTTAGTAGGCTCACCCCAATAATTGTAGAGTATGAATGATAATAGGTGACTGTTATTATGTCTATACTTATACAGAGCCAACAACTCCAAAGGACAAAACTGACCTACCAACTCAGACCACCAGTGAGTCCAATGATGATGAACATAAAGGTATAAGCACTCATTGTCACTAGTTTCATATTACATGTATGTGTATGTGTATGTATGTGATAGTGTGAGCTTAATGTACACTCACTTCACCTAGCAAAATTACAATTGTCTAGCTCATTGTAATATACATATTATTTCACATATGAGTGGGTTTTTGCAGTTTAGTGATAGTAAAAAATGCCAATATAATATACATGTATTATACATGCAAGTGGATGTTGTTTCATATTATATATTTAATATAGAGCCAGGAATTCAAGATGTCAAGCAAACTACAAATGATTCCCCCACACAGACCAGTGAGTCCAATGATGATCAACAGAAAGGTACATTGTATAAGCAGTCACTATCAGTATAATCAAGAGTAATCTCAGCTGCTGCAAGTGTGTGGATTTCTAGGAAGTCATGTTCTGGATGCTTCTGTATATTATAAATGATAAATGTTGTTATAACAACACATCTGTATAAACATTGATTGAAAACTACTGAAGTATAATTTTTTTATATGCTGAACATGACTTCCTAGAAATCCACACACTTGCAGCAGGCCTCAATAGGGCCGTTGGATACTCCCTTTAAGTATTATTTACTCTTGGTATAATACATGTAGTTTCACATTATTTACATGTATGTACAGCTATTTACAAACTGCCAAGTAGGTGGTAATGTGACCACAGTCACCACACAATGTAAGACACACCTCAATTTAGACAGTCCCCTTTGAAGTTCATAGATTGGTTTATGAATTGGTTTGCAAGATCTGTGCAATTTGCTGTACTTGCAATAGTACAATGACTATCAGCAATTACAACCTTATTTAAATACTTAGAATACATCATGCATACATGTACATGTACAAACAGAAAGATACTCATCCTGCTGAATTGTGGAGTATCAATAATATTATGACTGTTTTTATGTCTATACTTATACAGAGCCAACAAGTCCAAAGGACAAAAATTACCCACTGACTCAGACCACCAGTGAGTCCAATGATGATGAACAGAAAGGTATAAGCACTCACTGTCACTAGTTTCATATTACATGTATGTGTATGTGATAGTGTGTGCTTAACATACACTCACTTCACCTAGCAAATTACAATTGTCTAGCTCGTTGTACATCTAGCTTGTTGTACAGACAGACAACAGTAGTACCTAGTCCTCGCCTATGCAAAGCTGGGCGAGGCCAATGAAGTATTATTTTGACATTATCATTCTTTTTTATTCAGCCTCAGGTGCTGCTGGTATTGAGACCAATAGTCAGTTTCCTATAGTGCCTGATCATTCTGATGACGAAACCACCAATGAGAGTGGGAACAACACTGATATGAATTATCCTGAATCAGAGAAGCCACAGAAAATTGAAGGTAAAATGTGTGTTTGGGATTATTTAATAAAAAACAATAAAAAATGCCAATACACTATGCATGTATTATACATGCAAGTGGATGTTGTTTCATATTATAAACTTAATATAGAGCCAGGAATTCAAGAGGTCAAACCAACTACAAATGATTCCCCCTCACAGATCAGTGAGTCCAATGATGATCAACAGAAAGGTACATTATAGTCAGGCTCTACCCACTAGTACTGTACATGTACTAACAGAAAGATACTCATCCTGCTGAATTGTAGAGTATCAATAATATTATGACTGATTTCATGTTTATACTTATACAGAGCCAACAATTCCAGAAGACAAAAATCACTCAGCCACTGAGATCAGTGAGTCCAATGATGATCAACAGAAAGGTATAAGCACTCACTGTCACTAGTTTCACATATCAGCAATTAACCTTATAAAAATAGCATGTCCAGCAATTGCAATTTTAGTGACTGTTTTATGTCTATACTTATACAGAGCCAACAACCCCAGAAGACTCGTCCACACAGATCAGTGAGTTCAATGATGATCAACAAAAAGGTATAGGCACTCACTGTTACTAGTTTCATATATTTACATGACTATATCAGCAATTAACCTTATAAAAATAGTTAGAATACATGTACTGTACATGTATATGTACATGCATCCTGCTTATAGGCTCACCCTAATAATTGTAGAGTATGAATGATAATAGGTGACTGTTATTATGTTTATACTTATACAGAGCCAACAACTCCAAGGGACAAAACTTACCCACCAACTCAGACCACCAGTGAGTCCAATGATGATGAACATAAAGGTATAAGCACTCACTGTCACTAGTTTCACATTATTCATGCATTTATAATACATGTAGTTATGTTCACTATAATCAGCAATTAATTTTATAAAAAGAATGCCCATTAATCATACATTCATGTACATGCAGGCAGACACACATGTTTTGTATATGAATGATAATTAATGATCGTTTTCATACAGAGCCAACAACTCCAAAGGACAAAAATCAAACCAGTGAGTCCAATGATGATGAACAAAAAGGTATAGGCACTCACTACATAGTTTAATATTGCATGTACCGGTATGTGTATGAGATAGTGTGTGCTTAACGTACAGTTTGGATGTGTTAATGAAAGGAGGGTATGCTATGTTGTGTTTGTATTCTGCAGCCATTATTAATCTATTGTTCTACATTGTTTTGAATGACCTGGTTGACAGAGCTTGACATACTTTCATAATAAATTATGTAAAAATCAACAGTAGAAACTTTACCTAGCAAAATTACAATTGTCTAACTCATTGTGCATGTACATATTCTTTCACAAATGAGTTGGTTTTTACAGTTTAATGATAGTAGAAAATACCAATACACTGTACATGTATTATATATGCAAGTGGATGTTGTCTCATATTATATATTTAATATAGAGCCAGGAATTCAAGAGGTCAAACCAACTACAAACGATTCCCCCACACAGATCAGTGAGTCCAATGATGATCAACAAAAAGGTATAAGCACTCACTGTCACTTGTTTCACATTATTCATGCATTTATAATACATGTAGTTATATTAAGTTATGATCAGCAATTAATCTTATAAAAATATTCAGAATGCCCATAAATCATATATTCATGTCATGAAGACAGACACACATGCTGCTTTGTATATGAATAATAATTAGTGACCGTTTTCATACAGAACCAATAACTGCAATGGACAAAAATCAAACCAGTGAGTCCGATGATGATGAACAAAGAGGTATAAGCACTCACTGTCACTAGTTTCATATTACATGTATGTGTATGTGATAGTTAATAGTGTGTGCTTAGCATACACTCATTTCACCTAGCAAAATTACAATTGTCTAGCTTGTAATGTACATATGTACATATCCTTTCCCATATGAGTGGGTTTTTGCAATTTAGGGACAATAAAAAATACCAATAGATTATACATGTATTATACTTGCAAGTGGATGTTGTTTCATATTATATACTTAATATAGAGCCAGGAATTCAAGAGGTCAAACCAACTACAATTGATTCCCCCACACAGATCAGTGAGTCCAATGATGATCAACAGAAAGGTACATTGTATAAGCAGTCACTATCAGTATGATACATGTAGCTTGACATTATTTACATGTATGTACAGCTATTTGCAAACTGCCAAGTAGGTGGTAATGTGACCACACAATGTAAGACACACCTCAATTTAGATAGTCCCCTTTGAAGTTCATATAGTGGTTTATGAATTGGTTTGCAATGTCTGTGCAATTTGCTGTACTCAATGACTATCAGCAATTACAACCTTATTATTCAAATACTTAGAATACATCATGCATACATGTACATGTACAAACAGAAAGATACTCATCCTGCTAAATTGTGGAGTATCAATAATATTATGACTGTTTTCATGTTTATACTTATACAGAGCCAACAACTCCAAAGGACAAAAATTACTCACCAACTGAAACCAGTGAGTCCAATGATGATCAACAGAAAGGTATAAGCACTCACTGTCACTAGTTTCATATTACATGTATGTGTATGTGATAGTGTGTGCTTAATGTACACTCATTTCACCTAGCAAAATTACAATTGTCTAGCTTGTTGTACATCTAGTTTGTTGTACAGACAGACAACAGTAGTATCTAGTCCTTGCCTACGCAAAGCTGGGCGAGGCCAATAAAGTATTATGTTGAAATTATCATTCTTTATTATTCAGCCTCAGATGCTGCTGGTATTGAGACCAATAGTCAGTTTCCTATAGTGCCTGATCATTCTGATGATAAAACCACCAATGAGAGTGGGAACAACACTGATACGAATTATCCTAAATCAGAAATGCCACAGAAAATTGAAGGTAAAATGTGTGTTTGTGATTATTATTTTAATAAAAATAAATAAAAATACCAGTACATATACATGTATTATACATGCAAGTGAATGTTGTTTCATATTATATACTTAATATAGAGCCAGGAATTCAAGAGGTCAAACCAACTACAAATGATTCCCCCACACAGATCAGTGAGTCCAATGATAATCAACAGAAAGGTATAAGCAACTGTCACAGTCACATACCGTATACCGGTTTATTTCCATGGTAGAAAATTTTCAGGAATCTTGCATTTCTAATTTCGTGTATAACTTATGGCAGACTGCATCACGTGGCAATGGAAATGCAGAATTTTGCGGTGAAAAAATTTTGTGATGGAGCACAAAACCGGAAAATTTGCAAAAATATTTCACTGTGAAAATAAACCGGTATACGGTATTTACACGACTATATCAGCAATTAACCTTATAAAAATAGCTAGAATACATTTATTCTGGTTAGTAGGCTCACCCCAATAATTGTAGAGTATGAATGATAATAGGTCATTTCATGCTTGTACTTATACAGGGCCAACAAATCCAGAGGACAAAAATTACCCTCCAACTCAGACCACCAGTGAGTCCAATGATGATGAACAAAAAGGTATAAGCACTCACTGTCACTAGTTTCATATTACATGTATGTGTATGTATATGTATGTGATAGTGTGTGCATGTACACTCACTTCACCTAGTAAAATTCCAACTCTCTAGCTCGTGGTAATGTACACATTCTTTTACTTTAGTGATAGTAAAAAATGCCAATATAATATACATGTATTATACATGCAAGTGGATATTGTTTCATATTATATATTTAATATAGAGCCAGGAATTCAAGAGGTCAAACCAACTACAAATGATTCCCCCACACAGATCAATGAGTCCAATGATGATCAACAGAAAGGTACATTGTATAAGCAGTCACTATCAGTATGATACATGTAGTTTCACATTATTTGCATGTACCAGTATGTACTTATAATAGTTATAATGACTATCAGCAATTAAAATACTTAGAATACCTATGCATCAGATAACAGAAAGATACTCATCTTACTGAATTGTGGAGTGTCAATAATATTATGACTGTTTTCATGTTTAAACTTATACAGAGCCAACAACTCCAGAAGACACATCCACACAAACCACCAGTGAGTCCAATGATGATCAACATGAAGGTATAAGCACTCACTGTCACTAGTTTCACATTATTCATGCATTTATAATACATGTAGTTATGTTCACTATAATCAGCAATCAATCTTATCAAAAGAATGCCCATTAATCATACATTTATGATTCATGTACATGTAGACGACAGGCACACATGCTCTGTATATGAATAATAATTAATGATTGTTTTCATACAGAGCCAGCAATTCCAAAGGACAAAACTTACCCACTGACTCAAACCAGTGAGTCCAATGATGATGAACAAAAAGGTATAGGCACTCACTACATAGTTTCATATTACATGTATATGTATGTATGTCATTAACATACACTCACTTCACCTAGCAAAATTACAATTGTCTAGCTTGTTCTACATATACATATTCTTTCACATGTACATGTGTATGAGTTGGTTTTTGCAGTTTAGTGATAGTAAAAAAGTCAATACACTATACATGTATTATACATGCAAGTGGATGTTGTTCATATTATACTTAATATAGAGCCAGGAATTCAAGAAGTAAAACCAACTACAAATGATTCCCCCACACAGACCAGTGAGTCCAATGATGATCATAAAAAAGGTATAAGCACTCACTGTCACTAGTACATTTCATATATTTACATAATTATATCAGCAATAAATTAGTTAGAATACATGTACTGTACATGTACATACCAGTGGGAAATTTTAGAGGGACTAAAATTTGGCAAATTGCTAAATTTTGGAGATTGGCGAATTTGGCAGATTTTTATTTTGGTGAATGGCTATCATAATGCCAATTTTACCAAATTTAGTTCCTTCCAAAATTTTCTGCTATACGGTACATCCTGTTTAGAAGGCTCACCCAATAATTGTAGAGTATGAATGATATTAGGTGACTGTTTTTATGTCTATACTTATACAGAGCCAACAACTCCAAAGGACAAAAATTACCCGCCAACTCAGACCACCAGTGAGTCCAATGATGATCAACATAAAGGTACATAGTATAAGCAGTCACTATCAGTATGATACATGTAGTGTCACATTATTTACATGTATGTACTTATAATAGTTGTAATGACTATCAGCAATTAAAATACTTTGAATACCAGTACCTATGCATCTTGCATGCATGCACTTAGTGACTAACAGAAAGATACTC